CTGACTTTCTGAGCACTTGCGCCGCTCATGATGAGGTCGAGGAGGGCATTTCCACAAGTCGGCTCCGCCACATGCTGCTGGAGGTGATGTAGTGCGCAGAGGTCCTCCAGTTTCTCCCCAGCTGGAGTTGTTCTACTGCTGCCCAGCCAGGCAGTATTGTGCCAGCGATGATGAGGTGCTGTGCATCCACCCGGGCAACGTCAATAGTCTGGTTCAAGTATTCTGCTATACTGATATCGTTGCCAGGAAGAGACCCTGGGCGGTAGGCAGCACACAAGACAACTTTGCGGCCAGGTCTTATGCGGATAGAAAGCCATACGACTTCTTGATCAAGGGTTGGAACAGCTTCCAGTTCTTGGAAAGCTAGGTGGGATTTCACCCACACAGCCACACCTCCACCCTGTGGTGTTCGGTCTGTGGTGTAAAAGGTCGACTTACAACCGGAAAAATACGGTATACATGGTGATGCCTAGCCTCCTTTCTCCCGGAGACAATGCACTGCCGCTCTATGGGCACTTCGATGGATTTCAGGTATCCTTGCAGCTCAGAACGATGCTCGGAAAATGATGATGCAGCAATTCGAGCAATTGTTTACAAGAGCGCACATTCTCCTCGTCACCTACTCCGTGCTGAGTCGAACCAGAGAGTGTGAGACGTTCATTGTGGACTGCTCATCCTGAGAACGAGACTGCATGGTCTGCGTAAAATGCACAAACGGCACACCTATGGCAAAAAAAGATCACTCCGACTCGGAGGCGTTTCAGAAGAAGCTAATCTAAGCCCTGTACTTGATCACTGAGGAGCACAAAGGCCGAGAGTGGCAAATCGAGTTCAAAAACAAACAGAAGACTGACGTTCTACGACGACCAGCGAACTGGAGATGGAACGCGAAAACGACAAACATGGCTTTCCAGGCACAGTACAGAGGTGCGCTGGTTGCTGAAAACCTTCAAAGCAAGTAACAGTTTTGAATATCTTGCGCGTTGCCATGACGAATTCTACTATAACGACGTTTGTATGTGATTTTGTACCTAATGAGTAATGTGGTTGCAGCCTCGGCCTCGTAGCCGTAGGTCTACTCGTACAGGCATGGAAGTAACAGGTGGAACGGTATACTACGAGTACGATCGATCGTACTCGTAGTATACCGTTCCACCTGTTACTTCCATGCCTTAAAAGTTAAATTACAGTCTATGCACAGTTGAGTCACAGTGTATGCATTGATACTGAGCGTGATGCTAGGCTGGTCGTTCTAACAAGCTACATTCTTCGGCGTCTGCCATCACTGCACTGTACGCCCACACACTGTCATGTACTGAGCTTGATGAGCTTGATACTAGGCTGGTTGTTCTTCCGCGCTACATAAGTCATTTGTGTGGCGCCCTACATAATTATTACTGCAATGTACGCCCACAAGTCTCCCAACTACTAACTAGTAGTACTGACCAGTAGAACTGATAGCAAAGCGATAGCAAGTGCTGTCAAACGTTTGAAGACGTTGGCGGAGCTACTGCTCGAGCGCCATTTTGAAGCTAGCAGTGCACTTCATTATCTACTATCTAGTACATGTAGCGAGTTTCCTCAGCACACCGGTACATCTATGGTATTTGTTTGGTTGATAGCATGTTGCAAGGCGGAAGACGAACTGTGTTCGAAAACAGTGTTCTTTACTACGACCATCCACGGTTGGCAGAGGTTGTCGTGAAAAGCACTGTTTTCGAATACAGTGCGTCCTGCGCCTTGTAACATGCTGGCAAGCAAACAACATGATTGTTTTCAACCAATCAAGGCTTATCTAAAAATCTAAGGTATTTCCTGTGGAGCTCGCTAAGTGTGTATTGCGATAATAGTACTCACTCTGCTAAAAGAATTTCACGGTTCGCGTGAGACGACTGAAAGCCGAGTTTTCCGCATCCGCTGTGGGAACGGCGCTCTGCTAAGCCATACTATAACATCCAGTTGGGGGGGGGGGGGGGGGATTTAGAACTCTCCTGTGAAAGAGATAACAAACAGAACTTACCCACGACAGCTATGCTGTTGCCCTTCTTCCAGTGTCCAAGAACGTCCAGCCTCTCCTTCACTATATGCACGCATCCACAGACAGAAGAAATGCAGTTTCTGTTTCTTATCTCTGTATTTTACTAACTAAATTGAGAATCAGACAAAAATTGAACCTATAATAATTATAGGTATGTACCGGTACCGGTGCCACTTGTCTGCCGCCATCTTGGAATACTCAAAATCTCCAACTGAACAACCCGTGCGGCGAGTTTATCCTTCTACTATCGCCTCAAAGTTCTACTGTTTCCTTTCGTAAATAATGGTGTTGAAACTTGAAAGTAAGTGGCCTGTACGCTACAATAAACTGTTACATACATATAGACACAAAATTAGCTGTGCGTCTTCTACAAAAGTCAAAGACATACAGAGAGCAGAGCTAACCCCTCTCAATGCCAGCAATGTTGTTCTGACGCGACGGATACATTTCGAGCTAGTATAAGCCCAGCTGCAGCACGTATCGGGGGGACTGAGGTCAATGACGACACTCTCTTTGTTGCCATAGTTTATTTTATTTTTATTTATTATTTTATTATTTATTGGGAACACAGCCCTACAAAGAGACATGTGGAGACAAACACAAGACAAGACACAGGGGATGTAGGGACGACGTGCCGATGTACAGGGAGCAACTCGACCGACCAGGGGTCTCGGCGTTAGCGTTGCAACCTGGCATCGAAAAAAGGGGGGGGGGGTTGCATGGTCAGGTAGCAAAAATAATAATTTGGGCCGAGAAAGGGGCGCTAGTATTGCACCAAATAATATAAATACATGTAATGACTAAACCAGAAGGGAAAAAGAAGAAAGAGAACAATAATCATAACAAGCAAGTACTAGTAGAGAGGTAAATACTAAATGGGTCTCAATATCATCATCACAGGTACTGTGTGGACCACAGCCATCTCTTTCGGATTAGATCCTTACATACGTTGACCTTGAAGGTTTGGAGGCGTCTTGAATGAGGCTCGTGAAGCAGGAGGTCCGCAGGCAGGTTGTTCCAGGGTGTGATGGCGAAGAAGGGGAAGGATCGCAGGAGGTAGTCAGGGGCTGTGCGAGGGGTGTCCACTGCAGGTGAAAGGCATGGTGCGTCTGACGTTTTTGCCGCGTGCACATGCTAGCTACGGCAGGGGGCTTGGTTGGTGGCAGCATGGCCTTTACCTGGGGAGGCCCTGGAATGTAGTGCAGCTTGAACAAGTATGACAGGGCTGCCACCATCCGACGAAGCTGAAGACTTTGGAGGATGTTTCCAAAGTCTTCAGCTTCAGTAACTACAAGTACTCATTGGCATCATGCCCATTGCGTCTTATGTATAGTGAGCGACGACCAAATATAATCATTCTTCCCAAATTTAAATCATTGTCTAAGTCTCTCTTCATGTTCCGAACTGCTATTCTATGGAACTGTTTACCCCCCAGTCTAACATCGGAAGCCTCGCTCTATAAGTTCAAAGCTGCCCTCAGGAAATTTACAGCTGACCATGCTTATGCAATCAACGGAATTCCGCCACCTTGCAGTTGATTTTTCCCATTTCTCTCCTCATCAATCCCTACTTGTCTTTGTACATACATCTACATCTACTGTTCTTTCAATCAAATGAACCCCTCGATAGGCACATTGCCTTTGGTTCATTTCATAATATTTATTAATAATAATGTCGTTACGCACAAACCTTTTATCACTGCTTTCTAAGCCACAGGGTGCCCGATGACATAACAAGAGCTAGAGCTGTTGTGCGGGAGAGTTTGCGCCCTCGGATCCTTTCCCTGGTTTTGAGTACTCCAAGATGGCGGCAGACCAAGATCAAGAAAATGCGGGGTTCCCCCCCCCCCCCCGCCCCCCCCCCAAAAATGCAAAAACGTGTGTGTGTGTGTGTGGTGTGTGTGTGTTCGCGTCGGCAGTTCTCGCAACTAATCACGTCCACAAACGGTCCACGGTGAGACGAAGCTACATGGCACACTGCTGGAGAAGCCAAAACAAAGTAAAGATGAGGTAGTACTTGACCTGTGAGTGGATCCCGGGGAGACCAAAACCGCTCCCTGCACTGAGCCCGACAGGTACTATCATTCCTTGGCCCGCACAGTCCATGTCGATTCCGAGACCGAAATGGTCGGAGGAGTGCACTGCGCCTGACCAGCACAGCTCTTGTAGCACCTACTACTCCTTTGTTGTCTTTGTCTCTTTTATTACCCCTAGTATTACTTTGTAGGGATGTGCACATAGTATATAAAATAAAAAAAATAAAAAATTTCAGAGCTAAACCACGCCAGTGTATGCAATATTGTAATGACACGATGACACTATGTGCGAGCCGGTTATTATTAATAATTATTACGCCAAAAGTATGCCCTACTACAGCCAGTACAGAGTACATAACTATGTTGTTGGTTTGACAGCATGAAATATCTAATACCATACAGTGTACAATGTACCACGCAGTCGTGAGTCAGTCACGTGTAGCCCTTTCCCAAAGATGCCAAAATATTTCGCAACTTATGCTCTTCGCAACCATGCCAAAAAAAGTTGCTGAAATCGCATCCATATTTTCAGAAAAAAACACAATAGTTGCTAGTCTCGCAACTCAAAATGAGCGTGTAACAGTCAGCACCGCCGGAACTAGGCCTTGACAGATTATGCTAATATTTTCTTGTAATTATGCTTTTCGCATTGCTGAAAAATTGCAGAATTATGCTATTCTTCGGCTAAAAGTTATCATATGATGCCGCATTATTCTGCTAACGTATAATGGTTCTGTGCAAAATAACAGGGGAATTTTTTGTAGAGAGTGTTGTACTGTAGTAGCAAAAGTTCAACGGGGTCAACGCACCCTCCGACCTAGCTAGGACCGTCAAGGATTGTAGTTAGTTCTTGACAGATTATGCTAATATTTTCGTGAAATTATGCTTTTCGCATTGCTGAAAAATTGCAGAACTATGCTAACGGTTATTTTTATGCTAAAAGTTATAATATTATGCCGCATTATGCTCACATATGCTGCTAATGTATATTAATGGTTCTGTGCAAAATAACAGGGGAATTTTTTTGTAGAGGGCGTTGTACTGTAGTAGCAAAAGTTCAACGGGGTAAACGGCGGAGAAACTTTGCTCGTACTTGGGTGGATGCAAATTTGCGAGCTCCTGACCTTTACTCCTTTTTTCGGTTTCCCGGGGCACTAGGCCCTTGGAACACCAGTAAATAGTGATATAAATTATAATGGCCGGGAAACTCGACCCCAATACGGACATCGCCGTGCTTACTGATGACGAGCTCAAGGAGCTCATCCAGCGACTGGGACTGGAGTTCCCCAGAAAGGCGAACAGGCCAATGCTGATTGCCCTACTGAGAGGATCCAAGGACTCGGCTCCCGTAAGTCATGCTAACCCTGATGTAGCTAGCCTTTGCGCCGCACTCTCCGAACTTACCGGGGTAGTAAGGGAATTGAAATCAGAGCTAAAGACGATGAAAGATGTGAATGTACAGCTGAGAGATTCCAACAGGGAAATTCAGGCGTTGAAGGACGACGTGCAAAAGCTCCGACGTGAACTGCATGCTGAACAAGATCACCAATCCCGTTTGACCCACGTCCACGCTGACCCTGGTGATACAACTCATCTCGGAACTACTACAAGTAGTACTCTCCCCATGCACTTTAGTATGAGTACCGACGCTACCCCAGACCTGTCACACACATCACCACGTGCACCGGTACAAACACAAGGCCCAGCTGCACAGCACATTGTAGAAAATTCGTACGCAGACTCCGCAAGGCAGCCACCAAGGCCGCATGCACCTGGCCACGACAAACGTCCGCAAAAGCCAAACCACCGTAGGGAGGAGACATCGCGGTACACAGCACCGAAAACACCCAAGAGTGCACCTGGACTCGTAGGACAACCCCGTGTGACGGTGTACTACATTGGAAATGTTGACCCGGACTGCGATGCGGATTCAATAGCTGAACACTGCAAGGCACAAGGTGTATCTGTAGTACAAAGCGTCGTGTACACCTCCGTGCACTTTAGAACAGCCTCTGCTCGTATTACAGTCTTGGTCACGGACGCCAAGAAGGTCGCGGAAGAATCGTTCTGGCCTGACGAAGTTGGCCGTACTGTAAGAGAGTGGCGATTTGGTACAGAGGCCTGGGCCACCAAACCCATTAAAGCATAATAATGGCTCACACCACCGACCCACTCCCCTTGAACCCGCATGCTCAACACACCAATCGGATCAGCAAGAAGCTTAATCCACACGCCGCTCCGTTTCACCCACACACCCACCACCTGACCCAGCACAGTAGTACACTTAACATTGGCCACATCAATATACGCAGTCTACGCCACAAACTGTGTGAAGTTGAAAGCATAATGATAGAACAGCAACTGGATATATTAGCCGTATCCGAGACCTGGCTAGATAACAGTGTCTCTGACCTGGAAGTGCATATCCGTGGAACCATCCTTTACCGTAGAGATAGACCATGCATGACAAGCTGCTCGTGTCTCACAGCATGCGACCCCTGCAAGAAAGGTGGCGGTGTGTGCCTTTATGTGAAAGAAACCCTCAGAGTTTCCCTGGACGAACGTTACTCACATGATGCCCTAGAGCTTCTTTGCATACGATGTACGCCACAAAGAGGATCCGAGATATTGATCGGCTGCATCTATCGCCCGCCAGGTCAGTCCGTTGACTACTGGGACAGTCTTGCTGCAGCTGTAGACTGCGCCGATTGCGAAGAGCTGTACTTGTTGGGAGACCTCAATGTGAACTTCCTGGACAAGCAATCAAGTACCTATAAAGCCCTATACCACACCATCCTCCTGCCCCTTAATCTCTCCAACTTAGTAAACGCCCCTACACGCATTACACGGCAAACCCAAACCTCTATTGACTGCATCCTCACGAATTCGGAAGACGCCACAACCGCCTCAGTCTTTGACTGTGAATTCTCTGACCATCGCATCATCACAACCTCCGTGCCTATCTCTTCCCTGCAGCCTGACACGCCAGACCACAAGCCAAGGCAGCCCAGTCGAGACTATAGTTCGTTCTGTATGCAGGAATTCCACAAGTTGCTGAAATCGGTATCCCTACACTCTTTTTCATCCACGAACCCCCACCAAATGGCCGCTGAGTGGGTGAAGAAGTTCAACTGTGCACTGGATGAACTCGCGCCAATTGTCTCACGAAGAGCGGGGAGGCCTACCTCTAAAGTAAGATGCCCTTTCATGACTGAGGAGCTACTGCACATGATACGACAACGCAAAAGTGCCTTCCGCCGATTAAAAGCCTCAGCTTTCCAAGATCCAGTTACTGCACTCCAATTCAGGCAACTGCGCACCCGATCCAACAACCTGTATCGCCAGCTCCGCAACAAATATTTTTCGGAGCTCTGTCAAGACTATGAACAATCTCCTCGGAAGTTCTGGTCGGCGATCAATGGCGTAACAAAACGTAAACCCGCTAAACCCAAAACCTCAGTCGAAGCAGAGACGCTGAATAGATATTTCCATTCAATCGTTCACGACCCCGATGCCTCCTACAACGTACCGCTCGGGCCGGTCTCCTCCACCGATTTGGAGTCGTTCGCATCTGTCACCATTGCGGAAGTAGAACTTCTTCTACTAGACCTGAAGCCCCGCAAAGCCCCGGGTCCAGACAATATACTGCCCTGTCTTGTGAAGTCTGCCGCTTACATTCTTGCCCCATCTCTAGCAATCCTGTTTAATGCCTCCTTTTCTTCTGGTATACTCCCGTCCACGTTCAAAGAAGCGAACATTTGCCCAGTGTTAAAGTCCCAACGCAGTGACAGATCAGACCCGTCCCAGTACCGACCCATATCCCTTAGTAGTGTCATTGCCAAAGCCCTGGAGAAAGTCGTTCTTAGACAGCTCCAGCAGCTATTTGACGACAAGTGCCCATACCATAAAGACCAGTATGGCTTCCGCCGCCATCACTCTACTGCCCAACTCGTCACCAAGGCTGTAAGCCAGTGGACTGCGAGCCGGGATACTGGACACACTACCATGATTGTGTTTTTAGACCTAAGTAAGGCATTCGATCGGGTGAACCACCAGTGCCTCCTCATTTCACTGCAAGCCAAGGGTATTGGAGGGACAGCACTAGCATGGTTCGCCTCATACCTGTATGATCGTCGGCAGAAAGTCACTCTGCCACATGCTACATCCAGAGTCCTCCCAGTTTCGCGTGGAGTCCCGCAAGGTACTGTTCTGGGTCCTGTACTCTTTAATGTCTATATAAGCCACCTCCCTACCATAGCGGATTCCTTCACCTGTTCCCTTCCCATGTTCGCAGATGATATGACCCTCTACCGAAGTGCCCCCTCACTCAAACTGTGTATTGCCTCCGTCATTCCCTGCTTGAATGTACTATGTGACGAGCTACAAAAGCTCCACATGATGATCAATGTTAAAAAGTCAGGTGTTATGATCATTTCCCCCGGCCGAAACCCCACGACGCACCCAAGTGTCATTAGCCTTCAAGGTGAGCCACTTAATTTTGTGACCGAAACTCGTCTCCTTGGTATCCAAGTTGACAACTGCCTGTCATGGACCAAGCATATCGGTGTAATTGTTAGAAAAGTATCCCAGAAGGTGGGTGTCTTACGTCGCACCTTCCGGCAACTGAGCAAACTTGCACGCCGCCAGTACATCCTGTCTGTCGTTCTTCCTGACATTCTGTACTGCATCTGTTCCTTCGTCACACTCATTACTGCGAAGGATCACAATCGTCTAGTAAGCGTGTACAATAGAGCTATCCGAGCGGCTTGTGGGGCTTTGAGCCGGGACAGTATTTCTGGTCTTCTGAAAAACCTTGATGTTAAGCCCCTGGACTACTATTTTCTGGTGTCAACTGGGAAGTTCATTTTCATTAATCATATTCTTCGCCCTTTGCCTGTATTTACATCGTTATTCCCAGCCCCGCAATCTACCCGGAGCACGCGTAATCGCGACACACATGATATCCCTTATTTAAAATGCAGAACAACACTCGGTCAAAAATCCTTTGTGCTTCGTGCTGCTCTGTTTTTTAATGCTCTACCTAATGACTTGAAATCCTCTTTGTTTACCTCTCAGTTCGATCGTGGTTTGAAGCGCTTATTGAATGATCCAGTTTGGTTTGAACGATATCGTGCAATTTTGTTTGACAACGTTGGCAACGTTTAGTCTCTCACCAGCTACATGTATATATTGCCCAGGTTCATTCAGCATACGTTTTTCTTCTTTTCTCTTTATGTTCACCACTCATCCCCTTTTTTTTGCTAAACATTTGAACATTTACACTGATGTATGAACATTTACACTGATGTATATTATACATTGTTTATTTATTTATTTTTTTATATATTTTTTTGGTCCCATCGGCCTCTTCATATTTGTGCAGCTGCACTGTTGAGCTTCCGATGTAAAACAAAAATAATAATAATAATAATAATAATAAACGCACCGTCCGACCTAGCTACGACCGTCACTGATTGTGTAGTGGACTGGACATGTTCTCAAGGGAGTCGTAAACCTACGACTTCCTGGTGCATCTACTTGTACTTGTACTTGTAGAACATGTACAACTGTATGGAATTTGATTCGAACAGGCGGATTATTCCAATTTTATGCGATTCGTATGCAATTTGCCTCGAATTATGCGATTATTCGATTTTGGTAGGAATTATGCGAAATATTATGCTAGCATAATCTGTCAAGGCCTAGCCGGAACCGGTCCGGCCATGGCCGGACCACTTTTCCCAGCTGGATGGTCCACCTGATTCATGCAAAACTGGTGTAAAAAATATCAGAGGGTCAGGACTTGGACTTGTGACTAGGATCGTTCAATGCACGACATCACCTTCCACAAAAGCACTGCAGCATCGGTCTCTCCTCCATCCTATCGAAAATACATACGCGAGTCAACATTGGAAACGAGCGAAAAGCACGAGATCGAGCGTCGATCCGGATCGAGAGACATCTACGTGAATGCTGTACGAGGAAGCCGAAAAATGATCGGTCTTTCGATAGAGGGCACTTTGAAGTACATATGAATGCATAAAATGATCAGCTGTAGCACCTACTCTACTTTTATGTGCAGTCAGGAAAGGAACCTTCTCTCCGAAACAGGCGAAGCACCTGCATGCAGTAAGGAAAGAGCATAAAGAAATCCTAATTGATAACAAGGCGTGATAACTGTATGCAGTCCTGCGTAAGTCATATATGAACTTACATGCAAATAGGACGTGTAATCTCTATTCAGTCTCGAATGAGTCATAATTATAAGACACTTCTACCCCCAAAACTAACATAAAACGCTGTACGAAGTCAATAAAGAGCCATACCAAAAACCAATCTGCGAAGAAGACAAGACACCTGTATACAATCATGAAAGATCAATGAAGGGATTTACCTCTGAGCAAGACACGAAACCGGTATGGAGCCATGAAATAGGAAAATAGGAAACTTTAACCTGCACACAGAACAAGAAAACCTGTATGCAGTCAAGAAAACACAAGAAAGCAAGTTTACATTTGAACATGACAATAACCTGTATTCTGTCAGAAAGGAGTAATATACATGTAGGAACTTTCACTGTGAAACGTGCGAAACACCTGTATGGAGTAACGTTGTATTTCTCGCGAAATATTTTTAGTTGCAAATATGGCATCTGGTGTGTTCTTTATTGTCGCTTCTTTTCCTGACTTCTTCAGTCAGTTTTGAGTCTCACCAGTTTCCCTGCCCTCCCATCCTTCATTTCTGTGCATATTATCATTGCTTTTTTATCACTTTCTGCCGTGAGGTGCTTGCCATGCCTACATGATGCCTAATCGCCATTGGGGATATACACCCGGTTTTTTCCCTCGCAACTGCGTCCGTCGACGCGAGGGTTTTTTCCCGGCTGGCTAGGTCCGGAAAATTTAATCTGACGGTCCCAAGTGGTTCTGCATCATGGCCTATTTCTGCTATCCACTGGCACGCCTATTCTATCTGAGACACTCTGTTCTCAGTCCTTGCTTCCATACCTCACTCGTTATCCGGTTCACATCTGGCTGCGGCCAACTACCCTTCACGTTGTGTGGTGTCGCTATTGCTGTCTATGTCTCTGTGTGTGCCAGTATATTTGGAGCGAGAAGAAAGAATATAATAGAAACCTTAGCTGAGAACAAGACCGGAAACCAGGAAGCAGTCCACATGGAGCGATAGGAACTTACCTGCAAAAAATACGTACAATCTTTATCCAGCCTCGAAAGAGTCCAACAGGAAACTTCCACCTGCAAGTAAAACAACGACAAAAACTGTATGAAGTCAAGAAAAGGCAATGAAACTTACCTGCGAACAAGACAAGACACCACGTACATACGACATACAATCTGTATCCAGTCTCAAAAGAGTCAAACAGGAACTTTCTAGCTGCAATTTAAACTAAAAGTCCTGTCTGAAATCAAGAAAGAGCAGCACTCAGTATAGGAAACTTACCTCCGAACAAGAACATACACGTCCTCTATGCAGTCTTGTGAATAAGACGTGAAATCTGAATCCAGTCTCTAAAGAGTCAATCCGGAAACTGCGGCCTGGAAACAAAACAAAATTACCTGTATGAATTCAAGAAAGAGAAATATAGTAAACTTATATGCGAACAAGGCAAGACACATGGACACAATCTTCAACGGTCAATGAAGGGAACTCACCTGTAAGCAAGACAAGAAACCTGTTTGGAGCCATGAAATGGGAAATGGTGTACTTCTACGTGCACGCTAGAAACGAAACTTATATGCAGTCAAGACTATACGATATAAGAAGTTTACTTTTGAACATGACGAGACCCTGTGTGCAGTCTAGGCATTGGCGGATAATGTTTGAAAAGGTGGCAGATTCTGCTCGAAAGGCAGTGAAATTGGCAGAACCATACACATCTTATGGCGGGCAATTCCTCGAATTCTGCTCCATTTCTTTATCCACATACCAAACATGCATGAAACTCACCAGAAAAAGTACCGAATTCTGCCAATTTTTCTGCCGGCATTATCCGCAATGGCCTAGTGCAGTCAGGAAGGAGACATATAGGATCCTTCTCTGCGAAACAGACGAAATACCTGTATTCAGTTAAAAGAAAGAGCATACAGGAATACTAACTGGTACGGAGACGGGAAAACTATATGCAGTCATGCATAAGCCATATAGGAACGTACCTGCACATGGGACGTGTAATCTGTATGCAGTCATGCATAATCCATATAGGAACTACTTAGCTGCAAATGGGACGTGTAATCTGTATGCAGTCTCGAAATAGTCATAATTATAGGAACCTTCACCAGCGAACAAGACAAAAACCTGTATGAGGTCAAGAAAGAGCAATATAGGATACTTACATGCGAACAAGACAAGGCACCTGTAGACACTCATGAAAGATCAGTGAAGGGAACTGACCTGGGAGCAAGCCATGAAACTTGTGTGTAGCCATCAAATATGAAAATAGGAAACCTCTGCCTGCACAGAAACAAAACACTTGTATGCAGTCAAGAAAATACAATTATTATAGGAAGCTTACGTTTGAACATGACGGGGACCTGTAAGCAGTTGGGAAGGACCACCATAAGATCCACGTGCTATCAGTGAATGAAACCCACCTAAACAGCAGCATACCCGATTCTAGTGTCCATATCCCAGGCTACAAACTATATCGCAAGGATAGAGATCTACATGGTGGAGGGGTATGCATTTATGTCCATTCTGATATTCACTCTATCAGAATTCCCATCACTGAGCTAGGAGTGGAGTGTGTCTCTGTTCGTCTTCGCCTGTGTACCAAACCTAAGGCTATTGAGCTGGCTGTGTGCAGTATATTGTCCACCGAGTGCAACTGTCGACTTCTGGAACCTGTGCAGTCAGCATCTTGACGTCATCAGCCGTAAATTTAGCAGGATTATTGTACTAGGGGACTTTAACACTGATGTGCTACAGCAATCATCAAATAACCACCATTACAAGCACCTGTCCAATCTGTGTGAGGAGTTTCACCTCCGCAATGTCGTGACTTCACCAACGCGACTTGCCAAGACATGTCTGGATCTAATACTCGTTTATGCTGCCGCACCACATGTTAAGACAACTGTAGTATCTGTAGACGGCGTGAGCGACCATGATCTCGTTCTGACTAACTTCTCCTACAAAGCCACGCAGCAAGCTAACTCCCGCCTCAAATTCGTGCGCAAACCGCTCCCACATGCAATTAACCCCGCTACACTCTGTGATGATATCGACAGCACTCTGGAGCCTCTCCCCAAGTCAGCTGATGTCAATGCACAAGTCACCCAGCTTTCACACTGTATTACTCGAGTTTTAGACAAACATTCACCGATCTGCCCCGTGGTCTCACCAGCTTTCAGTAAACCGAAGCCTCAGCCATGGGTGACACCTCAGTTGAAACAGCTCCTCCAGCAACGAATCCACCTACATAGAAAAGTACGCACTCACCCGTCAGATCAACAGCTTCTGCAGAGGTATCGTGCAATACGGCGAGAAGGCACTCTCCTCAACAGGCAGCTGAAGTCACAGTATTACATCAGAGAGTTCAAAAATCGTCGCCATGACCCACGAGGCCAATGGGCCATTATCAATAGCTTGTCTGGTAGAACAGCAGTGAGGGCTGCCCCAGCAGCCACACTCGCCGATCTGACAACTACCTTCGCCGAGATCGTCCATGACCCTGCCAGACCAGTCGAGCTGCCCCTACCCGTTGCAGACCCCAATAGCACTACTCTTTTGGAGTTTGATACCGTCAGCGTCGATACCATCTCCAAGTTGCTTGAATATCTGGTATCCAACAAAGCCACCGGCTCCGATGATACTCCGTCCTGCATCCTGAAATCCTGCAGAGATTCAGTCTCGTATCCGTTAACTGTTATCGTCAACCAGTCTCTTCGCTCTGGCATCTTTCCTGCTGCCTACAAACATGCCCATGTCTGCCCTGTTTACAAATCTGGTGATAAGACCTCAGCCTCCAACTACAGGCCAATCTCACTGTTGCCTATCGCGGCCAAGATCCTAGAGAAGGTTGTCCACAAGCAAGTCACTTCGTATTTCACCCAGAATCCAGACCTGTCAGCCATACCAGCTGAACAATTTGCGTACCGCTCACACCATAGCTGTGAGGATGCCCTGACACTTTGCATAGACAGATGGAACAGAGCACTTGACAACGGTGACCAATGCGGAGTAGTCTTTGCGGATATGAGCAAGGCGTTTGACCGTGTGCAGCACACAGGTCTGCTGGGAGAGCTAACCACCACTGGCTTAGGCGGCACTGTCCTCAAGTGGTTCTCAGACTATCTCACGAACCGCAGCCAGCAGGTTACTGTCAATGGTGAGAAAGGTGACACCAAACCCTGTACAAGAGGGGTCCCCCAGGGGTCTGTTCTTGGGCCTTTGCTTTTCTGCGTCTACATTCGCCGGGTACCCGATATAATTATTTCACCAAAGTGTCGTGCAGCTGTACGCTGATGATATTGCGTTCTACGTATTCGGCTCTGATGTGGCTACAATTATGCTACGCTTGCAGGATAGTATGCGGTTGCTAGAGCAATACCTTGATGAGAAAGGCCTTCTGCTCAACCCCACTAAAACACAGTTCATGTTGATACGGCGTCCTGCCCTGCCTGCACTGAGCCCAGCCCTGTACCTGACCTGTAAAGGTATTGTCATTTCCCCTGTCTCTACTGTGAAATACCTCGGTATACTAATCGATGAGCATCTAACGTTCCGCCCACAAGTAGAAAAGGTGTGTTCAGTGGTCTTCGCTAAACTAGCCTGTTTTGCTCATGGCCGTCGCAATTTATCAGCTACAGCTCGGAGAACTTTCTTCTTGTCAATTAAACAGTCTACTCTAGAATATGCAAGTAATGCGTATGTGCACTGTTTGAAAACTACCCTATATAACAGGCTTGTAACGGTCAGCCAAATTGCGATGAAGAAGGCATTTGGTTTAGATAGAATGACCCCAACTGCATTAGTTTTACAACGGTGTCATCTGTTTTCGTTTGAGCAACGAGTTAATTTGAAACTATACGTTTTGGTCTATCGCTGCTTGTCATCAATTACTAGCCCCCTCCTTCAGTCACTGTTTCTCCTGCGTTCAGTTGGCCCGCACACAAATGCTCGTACTCGTGGCCAGGATACAGCTGCCTTAGTATTACCTACTGTACATATTGGGTATGGACTGCGCTCAGTTTCTTTTCTGGCGGCAGGTCGGTGGAACACTCTTCCTCCAAACTGTCGTCAGGCACAATCTGCTGGTACTTTTGCTCACCTCACAAAGTTTCACCTAGGGTTCCCTGTAACAAGGCCATGCCTGTTGGGACTCCCCTAGTCAAATAATAAATACTACTACTACTACTACTACTGAACTGAGAACAAAACGGACAACGGTATGCAGTCAAAAAAGGAGCTATTATATACAGTCGACTTTGCTTATAAAGACACTCGGCGCGGCGCGACATCAGAAACGTGTCCTACGCGAAGTGTCCTTACACCCGAAGTCTCATTATATTTATTCCAGCAGCACACGTAGTCTAGTTCTCTTATGTCATTGTCCACGGAAGTGTTGCCAGTGTACAGTCATGTGTGTACGTGTGGGTGCTTGATTCTACGCAGGGCGTCGTGAAGCCCTAAACCTGGGAACGCTGGGCTGCGAAATGGTGCAAGGCGCAAATTTGCGTGCCATCGTTGGATTTCACTCAGCAAGAACAAAGAGAATAATGGACCTCCAGCGGAGAACAAAGCAGCTACCTGCACTGAGCTCCACATTCACAGTCGTCACGTTTAGCTGTGGATTCCTACAGTGACACCTACCCTTCACTGTTCCTTCTCAGGCGGTAGAACGCACGTTATGGCAAGTATCCAGAACCATTGTCGACGTCACATGCGAATGCAAAGACCTTTAGTGCCACAGGAGTGGTAGGTGGTACAGCACTGTACTTGCACTTTCTATTACTTTCTATCACTCCTCTTTCACGCCTTGCTCAGCCATAGTATCTCAGATGGAATCACCAGAGCTACTGCGCCCCCATACGCCCACCACCAACTACTAGTGGCCAGTATTGACATCAACAAATGATAACTTAGCTCACAACAAGACGGGGAAAGTGTATGCAGGTAAACAGGAGATATTATAAGATCTTACCTGTCAAAAGGCGTAACATCTTTATGCTGTCTCGAAAGAGACATCATTGGAAACTTCTACCTGTAAACAAGACAAAATAATAATACTAGTATTTAGACAGTATTTTGGAGGCGGTGGGAAAAACAGTTTCGTAATACGTATTCGCATGCAACGACGCAAATCCACACAATTCAGTAGACACTTTTTCTATCAAACGTTTTCTTTCCCTTCTCTTCAGGATAGTACAGGGAATGTTGGAAATTAGAAAAACACATAACTATATAGAGAATGAAAGAAAGAAAAAGTCAACACTTCAACATAGGTGTTAAAATGATTAAAGTGTTAAAAACTCAAAAACAAACAGCTGCAAGTTGTAGACAAACACGTTGAACACATCAGGGAACACTTGTCACACTTTCACGAGGTGTGACACCAAACAACTGCAACGATAACACATTCTCCTTCTGTACACATAGTTCTGGATCTAGTTTACGAATATACAGAGCTTCTAACACAGCAAGATGTAATTTAGACCTTCCACGAGTCAAAATCGAAAAGATATCATCACTATACAACTTACGACAACTAGCACTGCCCGACAAATGACGCTTGATGGACGATGTCCGATCACTTAGCTCTGTCACCTTCGACGCCTGCCGTTGTTCTGTTCCGTTAGGCTTGTTTGGTTGGTTGCTCCGGTCCACACCTCCAACGTCCGTTGATTTCATGTCCGTTTTTGTTGATTTCATGGCCGTTTTCGTGTCACTTCTTGGTCTTCCTCGTTTCCTCTTGTTGATCGTTGTTGTCACTTCCATTATCGACGTATTCAGATCCCCAGTACTCCGTCTCTTCACCTTGCTTCTGGTAACTCTTCCGGTGTCTATGAGCTCCAGTGTCACATTGGGTGGTTTTCGAGACGGTCTCTCTCGCTTCCTCACGCTTGTCGGAGATGGGCCAAGCTCTTCGCCCGTCGAGGCGGAGGCGCGCATGCGTACATCTACACTGAACGCAGACAAAGGCGTTCCAGTATCGGACTGCACAGCACATTTTGGAGGACGGCCACGACGAGGACGAGTACCACGAGCGTCAACAGGGACAAGACCTAACGGCACATGTTGACGGATGCGTGCGCCCAGGTGTTGAAGGGTTCTACCTACGTACCGATCTTCACATTCTCGGCACTGAAAAAAATAGATAAGGTTGCTTCTACTAAGGGTAGGTAGAACGTCCTTCTTCACACTGAACGCACGCGTCGTTCCAAATACTAAATACAATCTCACGCACGGGTAAGACGAACAGACAATGTTGCGCACCTCCTTCTCGACGCGCGCAAAACCAGCACCCACCCAGGGTAAGCGTAGTACCACAAGTGTTCCCTGATGTGTTCAACGTGTTTGTCTACAACTTGCAGCTGTTTGTTTTTGAGTTTTTAACACTTTAATCATTTTAACACCTATGTTGAAGTGTTGACTTTTTCTTTCTTTCATTCTCTATATAGTTATGTGTTTTTCTAATTTCCAACATTCCCTGAACTATCCTGAAGAGAAGGGAAAGAAAACGTTTGATAGAAAAAGTGTCTACTGAATTGTGTGGATTTGCGTCGTTGCATGCGAATACGTATTACGAAACTAGTATTTAGAGTAATATATGAAAACCTCTAGCTGCAAACAAGACAATAAGCCTGTATTCAATGTAGAAAGAGCAAAATAGGAAACTGTCCTGCGAACAACACAAGACACCTGTATACAGTCATGAAAGATCAATGAAGGGAACTTGCCTGTGAGCAAGAGAAAAATCCTGTTTGGAGCCATGAAATAATATTGAAAATGAGAAAATCGCCTGCACACAAGACGAGACACTTGTATGCAGTTCGGAAAATGCATAATAGGAAGCTTACCTGTGAACGTGACGAGAAATCTGCACGCAGTCATTTTTAAAAGAGTAATAAAGAATCTCAACAGCGAAAAAGACGACACCCCTGTATGCAGTAACGAAAGAGCAGTAGAGCATACTATTATAGAGAGCTCAACTTAAATCAAGACGGGAAAGGTATATGCAGTCATGAAAGATCAATGAATAGAACTTGCCCATGGAAAAGACTCAAAACTTGTATACAGCTTTGAAATATGAACATTTATAGGAAACATCTGCCTGCACACAAGGCAAGACACTTGTATTCAGTCAGAAAAAAGAATAATAGCATTCTAAACTGGCAACATTACGAAACACTGTGTGCATTCAAGAAAGAGCTGGAAAGGAAACGTATCTGTGAACAAGACGAGTCACCGTAGGCTCCTATTTCCAGTCCAGAAAAAGCTGTATAGTAAACGTACCTGCGAGAAAAACAGAGACTTGTAGGCAGTCAAGAAAATACAATAATTATAAGAAGCTTACTTGTGAACAAGACGAGAAGCCTGTGTGCAATCAGGAAAGAGTAAATTTGGCACCTTGTCCGGCAAAAAGGCGAGAAACCTACCTCTATGCAGTAACTAAAGAGCATACAGAAAACGTAACTTAGAACAAGACGAGAAAACTTTATGCAGTCTAAGAAGAGCGGTATAGGAAACTTACCTGCGAATAAGACAAAGAAATCCGTATGCAGTCTCGAAAGCGTCATAATTATACTAGTAGGAAACGTGTACCTGAGAACAAGACAAGAAAACTTTAGGCAGTTATGAAAGAGTACTATAGGAAACATAACTGCGAATAAGAGAGTAATAAGAGTAATATGAATAATCTACCTTCAAACAAGACGAGAAACCTGTCAGCAGTATAGGAATAAACGTCTACCTGCGAACAAGAGAGCAATATGAGTAATAATGAGTACTCTAGCTGATTCAAATGGGGGTAAAAATACACCTGTCACAGTAGCAGTATGGTGGTAAATAAATACCTGCCCTCACACGCTCTCTAGGCTGCAAAGTTATTCTAGCACAGAGCTCTCCTTCTCACCACCACCAGCACACCATCAGTTCGCGCCTGGCGCCTAGTCAATGCATGGCTGGTGGTATCCGACAAAGCAGGCTGGGCCATACTGCCAGGTGTGTATTTTACCAACAGTTGAATCAACCATAAGTACTGCTGCTTTGGTTGCTTCAACTGCATATCTCATGAATACACCACCTTCGAAAACGACGAGAAACGAACTTGTCAGCAGTAAAGGAAACTAAATTCTAGCTGCGAACAAGACAAGCAAACCTCCACCCGTAATCCGAGCATGCATTACAGTCTATGCACCGTTGAGTCACAGTGTACAGTGGATACATAATCATTTGTATACTGAGCTTGGTGCTAGGCTGGTTGTTCTACCGCTAAACTCTTTGGCGTCCATAACTACTGCACTGTACGCCAACACATTGTCATACTGAGCTTGATGAGCTTGATTCTACGCTGTTCGCTCTTCCGCGCTACATTATGTGGCGCCAGACATTACTGCAATGTACGCCCACACGTCTCCCAACTAGTAAGTTACAGGGCAGTATAGCTGATATCAAATGCCGTCAAACGTTCAGAAGACGTTCGCAGAGCGACTGCTCGTACATGTAGTGAGTTTTAGGTACACATTTCCATCTAAGATATTTCTAGTGGATCTCGCTAAGTGTGTATTGTGATAATAGTAATCACTCAGCTGAAGCACACGGTTTCAGCCAGTTGGAAAAGAAATTCTAAGAACTTCCTAGTGAAGGAGATAACAAACAGAACTTATTCAGTGCAGCTGTTCAGCAGTCCTTCAGTTCCTCCAGTGTCCAAGAACGTCCAGCCTATCCTATGATGTACACGCCCGA